AGCCCAGGAGAGGCGTAGGGACGGGATCAAGAGGAGCGAAGGCGCACGACGTGGGGCAACTGGCGGGGGACTGTAGGCGCGCGCGGATGTCCGTGACCCTGGGGCCAGGTAGGCAATGGCTAGGGGGTGTTGGTACGAGCATACTCATGTCCATAGGGAGAGCCCCAAGCATCCGCGGCTTGCAGGGTGGCTGCGCCAGCACCTGTTGCTGGAGGTGGGAGGGCGAGCGGCGCGCGCAGACGGGCAGCTCATGGCCCCCAGAGCTGCAAGCCTCTATGCTTACGAGTAACGGGCACGCTACCCTGGCTGTTGCAGCCCAGGAAGCTTAGCAAGACTTACCACGCATCTTTCCAGAAGCTACCTGATTTCAAAGAAGGAGGGAAGTAAAGTGCCAGAGTAAAAAGTTTCCTTCCTTTCTGCCTGTTTGAATCTAAACGCCAGTTGTACTCCTAAGGGTTGAAGGAAACAGTCTGGCCAAGAATGGCGCGCCATAGGTAGCAATTAATAATGAGAATGATTGAGATAAACTTAGTCTTCTTTATATTCCAGAATAACCGATGCATCCAGTAACTTTCAAGTAAATATGTTGATTTCAAAGAGTTTGGAATTAGCCTGATGTATAATCTGTGCTATGTTAAAAGTATAATAAAATGGATTTTTCCCCCCTTAAACCAAGACGATCTCTAAGAAATTATGACCATTGTTCAAGGAAATATTTTAAGATGCAATATCAACTTTTCTTATGCAACTTCTATTTTAAATCATTTTTTTCACATTTCTCCAATTTACAATTTATGTAAAATGATGTAATATTTTAAAAAGTAAGATATACACTTAAAATTATGGCTATGAAATCTTAAGAATATGTAATTAGCTATTATAAAGTTAAAAAATGTGTAGTGCTATTACCAAATTTCTTGCTTAAGTTATTATTACTCCAAATTGCTAAAGTGGTCTTTCCTTCCTCATTATGTATTTTTATAGAAAAACCAAGATTAAATAAAAAAGGCTTTAGAGAAGAGGCAAAAGGATATTCTACATAAAGACACACTAGATAATTTTATAAGTTAGTAACTCTTAAGCATATATAACACTTGAGAAAAATTGGGCAGAACATACATACAGTCTGAACTGTGTAAATGTATGTAAATATAGTAATATGCAAATATAGTAAATCGATATTATTTGGTGAAACTTTCTCTGTCATTAATTTGCAGTGATTTTGCGCCAGTCATTCAATTTCCTGAGCCTTAGGTTGCTTATTCATAAAAGAAAGGTACCAGATTAGATGATTATTAAAATTTACTCTTGCTAAAATAGAAATGATTCAAGATTATAACTTTTTAAAAGAAATACTCAAAATGCATGCACATAGAATACATAAAAATGTACATGATAGATTGCTATAATCTTTTTTCCTATGATCAGTGATAATGTTAAGAATTATTTTGAATTCTCAGACCATTATATCTTTTTTAACATTCATAACACCATAAGAAATGAAATTGTACATAATGATAACATAATTTATATATAATGACACCAAAGAACAGAAAAGTTTAAGCTCTTTGTCCAAAATTCTCCAGTAACAGGCACATCAAAGATTTTTTAATGCATATTCCAAGCACCTAGACAGGACTGAATGTGATGCGTACAAGCTAAAACTACTGGTAAACAAGAGTAATCTTAGCCTGCACCGTAAATCCATAATAAGATGAAGATAAGGCTTTGTAACAACACTGGATCTTTATAGCTATCAGAAAGAAATAATGCATTAGTCAACATTTGTTATATTTTAATAATTAGACTCACATTTTTAACTGCGTATGTATATTTAACAAATATTTAATGTCAGTTGTGTTCATTGTAGGACAGTTATAGGAGTTACATTAGGAACACAAATACTTTTATGTAAATAAAAATAACTAACGTTCTTCTAAGTGCTAGAGCACTCTTCTGTCAATTTGCTGTACTGAGGTAACCTGGGTTTGCTGTGATGCTGTGATGCCATTGGGATGTTGAATGCCATAAAGATTACCCATGGTGGACAGTGTTTGGTGGACCTCCCAGTTTAAGACAGGTTTGGAAGTAGGAGGTGACATCTACATCCTAAACAACATGCCTCTGGAAACTACGAACTTTGGGAAATGAAGATAGTCATAGAAAGGTTTCAGGTCTTTTATTTATAAAGTCGCTATGAGTCATTCTCCCCTTGATGGCAATCAACAACAACAACAGTATTAAAATAACAAGGGAATTCTGGTGGTATAGTCCATATGGAGTTGGACTGCTTACCCAACGACCATGGTGCTTTGAATTTACCAGCAGCTTCTTGACAGAAAAGAAATACCCTTTTAAGCAATTTACAGCCTTGGAAATTCAATGGAGTGTTAGCTATAAGTTGATTCCAACTGGCCAGTAATGAATTTGAGTAAGATAGTTATTAATGGTAACACAGAAGAGTAGAAGCTAATGTTGTTAAGTGCTGTTGAGGATGACTCACAGAGACCCAGTGGATCACAGATCTGAACTCTGAACTCTCCTAAGCCATCCTCATCATCTCTGACTCACTTGAGCCCATTTCTGCAGTCACAATGGTAGTCCATCTCATTGAGAAGTCTTTTGCTGACTCTTCACTTTTCTAAGCACAGCGTCCCTCTTCTACAAATAGCCTCTCCTAGTAACATGCCCAAAGGACAAAAAATATTTCTAAAACCTTTCTACTGAGAGCTGCCGTTGTTTGAATTCAAGAAAATAATTAATGCCATAGCCAAGGGAAAGGGTGTTCAGTGAAGCTGATTATACTTTTGGTCATCATGATATCATGATCTATAAGCTCTTTAAACAGAGTATTTTAATATATAATTTTGAATGAAATAATATTACCCTGATTTGCAGATGAAAATATTGAACTAGAGCAATCTATTCTCTCAGAGCCCTCACGTATTTTTTTTTTATGAGAGCAGAGAGCATTTTTTTTTCTAAATGAGGTTTTATGAGACTTTCTTGTTTAGAAACACATTTATATGAACATGGCATGACGTTCGTAAACTTTTAGGGGAGACTTGGAACCAGATGTAGACCAAACTCCTTCTTTTCACTATTTGAGGAAACCAAGATCTAGAAAAGTTGAGACTCCCACTACATCACATGTTCTTATTTTTTCCTCCAATTATGATGCTAATCATGTACATTCTTGTAAGTTGTTAAATGAGAAGTTTAGCAGGTTAACTTGGCCATTAAGTAGATGATTTATTGCCACTCAGTCAGATGCCCTATCTTAGCTTCTCTGAAAACCTTTGTGATTGTGGTTGGAGACTTTAAGGCTTGTGGCCTCTGAGTTTCCCATCTAATATTAAGAATTCTTGAGGAAAAGTAACTGTGTTATGTATTTCTTTAGTGGGATTAAGCACAACCTCCCCAAAATAAACCCAATGTTGTTCAGTCACATAGGACTCACTGTGACCCTTTTCTGATCTTCTAACACTGAAAATCTTTAAGTGAAGTTTGCCCATCTTTCTCCCGTGGAGTGGCTGGTGAACTCAAACCTTTAGGTTAGCAGCACAACATGTTATGAACGACACCACCAGGGACTAAGCAAAGTGATTGGCAAATTTGATAAATGATGTTTTCACCAGTTGCCTGTGACAAATCATCATATTGTGCTGAAAGCTATAGCGTGTCATCACCATTTTTACCTCATAAGAATGATAGCTAGGCAATATACAGATGCCCAAAAAAAGCATATTGAGCACCTTAGATGGTGGTTGGTTAGTTTGAATAGAAAATATGGTGTATTATCATGAAGATAACTGGTTGGATTTGTCCTTGATTTGAGGGGAAAGCCAGACAGCTACGTATCACGCTTGAGTTTTCATTTCCTTCCTCCTTCCCTCTATACCTCCTTCCTTCTATCCCTCACTGTCTCTTTTTCTTTGCTCAAAGGCTTAGAAATAACTTCTTTTTTCTGATTATATATAAGATACAAAGACATATAAGAAGTTAAAATCATGCATAAGTAAACAAGTCACCAGAAACCTCATTCTCCAGTGGTTTTGATGACCAGCTAGAGAGATGTCCTTCTTCCCTTAACTCCTGTAGAATCAGGATGATTGCTGAATAATTTACTGAAATTGTTTATAGGTTAAAGATCCATTTAGTCTTGGTATTCTATCATATTCAGGCAGCTCAAAGTTTATATAAATTAAGATATTTTTGGAAAATTGAGATAACCATACTACTAATAAACATGACTTACTTCATGTAGAATGAAGTAGTGCAGAAAGTTTATTTATTATGCAGACATCTTCTCCCTTCACAAGGTGGAATTGGGGAGCTGAGGCATCTTTAATGTATGACCAGCTCCCAAATATGTCATGATGTCAGGCCACACAGGAAGTCACAGCACCCAGCTCTGTTGTCCTGACAGAGGAGTGGCAGAGGAGGAGAAGGGTGGAACTGGAACATGGGAGGTTGTGGTTACACAAAGGCTGTGTTTTGTGGTTCCACTGTGATACACTATACACTTTAATATGTACTAGTCTAAGTCCCTCCCTCAGCTGCTGGGCAGGTGGTCACGGGACCCTTTTCTGATGCAGTCAAGCGTAAGTTTGGCTATACCTCAAATGAAGGCAGGATGCTGATAGGGCATTTCTCATTCATTTATTCAGAATTCTGAGAACCCAGAATGGACCTTCATTCAAAGAGGGAATACTAGCTGTTGGAATAATTGCCCATAAATGAGTTTTGAACTAATACTCACAAAATTATTGGGCAGAAAGGAAGGCCAGGAGTCTCTTTGATAGAAGCAGTGACAGCTTTTCACATGCATTTGGATTTAAGCACATGCAGTATTTTTTTTTTAAGATTAGAGTGTTTGATTATTGTAACTTCATAAATTTGTTATTCAAAACTCATTTTCCTTAGGCACGTTTCCTTGATGTGTGCTATATATGCAAGCTGAGAGTTCTTTCATGCCTTACTTTTTTTATGGGCTTAACATGGCTTTAATCCAACCATCTGTTCGCATCTTGGCACATCAGCACATCGGAGGTGCTGGTAGGGGCTAAATAAATTTCCCACATTTTAAAGGTTAGGGAAAGAGCTACCTTTATGAATAGATTTCAAATGATTCTCAGCAAGACAATGGTACAGAAGTGGAGTAAAAAATGCATTTCATTCTCTGAAGTACGAGATCCCCTGTCTGTCTTTTAGTTTTGCTGAAAGGCAATTAGCATTTCAACCAGCCAATTTGGTTACATGCAATGAAGTATTTGGGTTTATAATTTGCTGCTCTCAGTCTGAGGCTGTTGAGCACTAGCTCTTATGTAATCCTCTCCAAGTAGCCTTCTTTCCAGCATAGTTATTGTTACTGGTCTTAAATAACTAATCAACAGAGAATTTTCCTTCCCTTCAACTGTAGGGTGCCTTAGGGTAAAGGAAAATGAAATACCAGGCTAATAAGGGGATGACGGTAATTATTAAATAGTCATAATAGAAATGTGGCATAGGTTGAAAGATACAGAATAGCTTCAAATAAAATGCAACTTCAAAAAGGTATTGTGTAGCATTGTTTATAGTTTATTTATGCATGCAGTATTCACAGTAAACCGAGGGTATATACTGGAATTAATTGAGTTAAGGTGATTAAAAAATTCACAGAGCAATTTTTATTTATATTGTCTTTGTGCTTTCTACACAAGAGTAATATGGGTAAAGGAAATTTTTAAAATGTTATGTAAAATGAACAGGTGCTCTGAGGTATAGTGCAGAAATAAGCTAAGGTTTTTTATTTATGCAGTAATTTAAATAATTTTTGTTAACTTCTTTGGTTATGAATTGTGCTAATTAGGTAATATACTTCACTGAATATACTAATACTCTTCTTTAGGGTTTACTGTATTTAATGACAATCCTTTTGTGAAGATAGTTGGAATGATATTATCCATTAATCCATAGGGCAGTAATTATAGTCAGAAAACAAGGAGACACATTGCACGGGGAAAAGCTGCAGTTAGAGACTTTTCCAAATTATTTGGATAATTTTTGTTTATTTATTTATTCTTTTTATGTGTGTACTGTCAAATTGGATCTGACTGGTACAGGAGGTGATTGTTCCTCCTTCTTCAGCAGAGCATCTGGTGGATTTGAACCGTGCACCTCTGGGATTGCAGTGCAGTATCCTGTCACTAGGTCACCAGAGCTCGCTGAGACTTTTCCAAATTATTAGTGATATCAGTTTGAGGACTAAGGTGCATCTGATCCTGGCCATGGTCTTTCTGATTACCTACCATGCATCTGAGACCTGGACAATGAATAAGAATGACAGAAAAAGAATTGATGCATTTGAGCTGTGGTGTTGGAACACCCCATGGATGGCTAAGAGAACAAACACATGGTTTGGAGATGGTGCAGCTGGAGTGTTCTTTGGAGGCAAGAATGATGAGGTTTTGCCTCACATACTTTGGTTATGTTGCTATGAGGTGCTATTCCTTGGAGAGGGACATCATGTGGGGAAGGGTGGAGGGTCGGTGAAGGAGAGGAAGACCGTCAACCAGGTGGATTGAAAGGGTGACTGCTGCAATGGTCTCTTGTGTGTTAGGAAGCATGGGGATGAGGCAGGACAGGACTGGGTTCAGATCTTTTATTCAATAAGGTCACTATGAGTCATATTCAACTCAACAGCACCTAACAACAACAACAACAGTACCATCTTTTAATACAGGACAGCTTTTGCAAATTTGTACTTCTGTAATTATGTGAAACTAAAATGACACATTTCCCAAATAATGTTTCATTGAAAGAAGGCACAATAGAAATACTTTAGGTGGATGTCATGCAGTAATCAATATAATTATGACCGGAATGGCAATGTTTTCTTTATTTTCAATCTGTGATCACATAGATAAAGCACTGTTTCAGCTGTATTTACTGTGAATATTATTATGTACCATCAAGTCAGAACTGACTCGTAGCTGACCCTCCAGCAGATTTTCAGAGGTGGTAAATCACACTGGAGAGGATTGTCAATCTTTCTCCTGCAGATTGTAATTATGTTGTTGTTGTTGTTAGGAGCCCCAATGAGTTGTGTACTACTCATAGTGGCTCTATGAACAACAGATCTGAATCCTGTTCTATCCTGTGCCATCCTCACTAACTCTGATAAACTCGAGTCCATTGCTGCTCTCACCATGTCAATCCAACTCATTGGGTTTCTTCCTCTCCTTCTTTGAGCCCTCTATCCTTCCAAATCTGATCTCCCTTTCCAAGGAATAGCTTCTTCTAACAACATGTTGAAAGTATGATAGATAAAGCTTTGTGATCCTTGCCTCCAAGCAGCACTCCACTTATACCTTTTCCAAAACATACCTGTTTGTTCTTTTGGCTGTTTGTGGAATATTCGTATTCTTCTTTAACACCACAACTCAAAGGCATCAGTTCTTCTGTAATCCTTACTCATTGTCCAACTCTCAGATGCATAACAAATAATGGAAAATACTGTGGTCTGAAAAAGGGGCAATTTAGTTGGTTTTTTTTTTTAAAACCAGTATTACTTTACTTTGAAAGTGTGAAGCTGTTGCCCCTCCAGATACTTGGCATGCGTGTCACAGAGCCTTCTGGACATGGTACTCAAAAAAGGACCCAACCTTTCCACCACTTAATGCCATGCTCACATCTTAATCTTTAATTGACATCATTGCTCTTCAGTAATTTGGAGATGTCCTTGACAGTGAACTTGCCCATAGCAGTATGTTTTCCTTATCTCTTGATTGCTGGTACCAAGGATATTGATTGGGAGCCAAGTAAGATGAAATCATTGACAATCTCAGTTATTTTTCCATTTTTCTTGTTGTTGCCCATTGACTCATTAGTAAGGGTCTTTGTTTTCTTGATGTTAAGATGTAATTTATATTGAAAGCTGTAGGACTGAAATAGTACATTAACAGAGAACTAATAGAAAATACAAGTTGGGTTTAGAAGAGTTCAGGGCACTAGAGACATTATCATCAATGTCAGATGAATCTTGACCAAAAACAAAGAGGCATAGAGGAATGCCTATCTGTTTTATTCACTATGCAAGGATATTTGACTGTGTGGATCACAACAAATTATGACTAACGTGGAAAAGAATGGGAATCCCAGAAAACTTGATTGTGTTCATGTGAAACCAATAATTGGACCAGAAAGCAGTCCTTGGAACAGAGCAAGGAAACAGTGCATGGTTCAAAATCAAGAAGGGAGTGTGTCAGGGTTGTGTCCTGCCTCCATATCTTTTCAATCTATGTATAGAACAGATGACTTGGGGTCTGGGTTTTATGAATAGGAATGTGTGTGGCATCAGAATTGGAGGAAGATTTCCAGAAACTTGAGATATGCAGATGACACAATCTTGCTTGAGAAAGCTGAAGGGCTTGCTGCACAAAGTCAAAGACCGCAGTCTTTAATGTGGATTGTAGCTCAACAAGAAAACCAAGGTTCTCACCAGGAGACCGATTGACAGTATCATGATAGATGGAGAAATGATTTTGTTTGTTAACTATTTCAGCTTTCTGGGCTCCACAGTCAATACTCTTGGCACCAGCAGTCAGAAAATCAAAAGACGAATTGTATTGGGGAAGTCTGCTGTCAGGGACCTCTCCAAAGTGCTAAAGAACAATGATGTCAGTGTAGAAGCAAAGATGCACCTTATCCAGGCCACGGTCTTCACAATTACTTGCTATGTATGCATCAGAGAGCTGGGCAATGACTGAGGATGGCAGAAGAACAATTGATGCCTTTCAGTTGTGGTGCTGGAGAACAGTTTTGATATACCATGAACCTCAAGAACAAATAAGTCTGTCTTGGAGAGGGTGAAACCAAGTTTGTCCTTGCAGGTAAGGATTTTGAAGCTCTGTCTCACATATTTTGGGTATGTTTCTTTGGAGAAGGACATCATGTTTGGAAGGGTGGAGGGACAGCACAAGAGAGGAATATCCCAGATTAGATGTATTGATTGACACAGTATCTAGGGTAATGGGTGTAGGTGTGTTGGAACCAGTGAGATTGGCTCAGGACAGGGCAGGATTCAGAGTTATTGTACATAGGATCGCAGTGAGCCACAGGTGACTTGATGGCACATAACAGCAACAACACTCTTTGATCTTCTGCATCAAGTGCTTCAAGTCCTTCTCAATTTCAGCAAGTAAGATTGTGTGATCTGCATAAGGCAGGTTGTTGATGAGTCTTCATTCAATACTGATGCCACAATTTTCTCCTTAGAGCCCAGCTTCACAAATGATTTTCTCAGACTACAGATTGAATATATATGGAGAGAGGATGCAACCCTGATACACACCTTTCTTAACTTTAAACCATGTAGTGTTCCCTTGCTCTGCTTGGACAACAGCTTCTTAGTTGAGGTTTAGGTCTTGAATGAGCACAAGTGAATGCTCTGAGATTCTCATTCTCCTCAATGTTAATTTTTTTTTTTATGATTCAAACAGTCAAATACTTTGCATTGCCAATAAAGCCAAAGTAGATATCCTTCTGGTGTTTTCTGTTTTCAGCCAGGATCCATCTGACATCAACAATTTTATTACCTAAATTTGAAAATAATCTTAAAAATTTATGTGAGATATTGAACACCAGTTATCAAAGACCAGATGAATATATGAGGTGACATCAAGGATATTATTATTAAAGAGAGACAAAGGTCATTATAAAAACAGAAGAGGAAAGAAATACCAAAATAGATGCCTGAAGAGACGCTGACAGCTAGTTATACTAGAGCTTCGATAAACCACAATAAAAGGGAGAAGGGAAGTAAAAGAAGGGAATAGAAGATTTCAAAGGACAGCTTGAGAAAATAAAGCAAAGTATTTTAAGAGAAAGTGTGGATACCTGGAATTGGAGAACAAAAATTGAAGAATTCTCTTGACATTTCTCAAGCTGAAAGAACTTGAAAAGAAATGCAAGCCTCAATTTGCAATATTAAGAGATGCTAAGGGCAAAATCTTGAATGATATTGGAAGAATCAAAAGAAGATGGACTTTTTTTTGTGGGTATTTTCATGACTTGTT